AGTTTCGTATTTATTACTGTTGGAAATCTTATTTTACATTGATTTATTTAGTTTGGACAACTTACCTTTCTGCCTTACAGAATCAGTGTGCTTTATGAAAGCTATTTTGACCAGGGATGGATAAATCTCGACAGTTTTCTGTTTCTTTCTGTTTCTTGTTTTTCCAAACTTAACTTCGGTTCACCACATATCTGCATCAGCTTGTGTGTGCTTTCAATAGAATGTCCTCATAAAGAGATGTCAGCATTTTAGAGCACATTTCTCCAAAAGTATACCAATTTTTCTATACATTTTTGCCTAATACAGTGGTATCTCAGGTTAAGTACTTAATTCGTTCCGGAGGTCCGTTCTTAACCTGAAACTGTTCTTAACCTGAAGCACCACTTTAGCTAGTGGGGCCTCCTGCTGCCGCCAGAGCACGATTTCTGTTCTCATACTGAAGCAAAGTTCTTAACCCAAGGTACTATTTCTGGGTTAGCGGAGTCTGTAACCTGAAGCGTCTGTAACCTGAAGCGTATGTAACCTGAAGTATCACTGTATGTGGACATTTGCAAGCAGCTTTCCCTAATACAGTGGTGCCTCGCAAGACGAAATTAATTCGTTCCGCAAGTTCTTTCTTCTTGCGAGTTTTTCGTCTTGCGAAGCACGGTTTCCCATAGGAATGCATTGAAAATCAATTAATGCGTTCCTAGGGAAACCGCTTGCCAGGCTGGCGGTGCGGAGAAGGGCTTTTCTCCGCACCGCAAGCCTTCAGGACAGGTACGGGAACAGAGGGGAAGGCGCGCAGCGCTTCTCCTCTGTTCCCGGGGCTTGCGTGGGAGGAGGGTTTTTCCTCCCCACCGCCAACATTCAGAACAGCATTCTGAATGTTGGCGGTGGGAAGGAAAACCCTCCTCCCACCCCAAGTCTTCAGGACAGCCATCCGATGCCGGGCTGCGGGAGGAGGCGTTCCCCCCCCCCCGCCCGGCATTGGAGCTTCGTTCCGATGTCCGTTGGAGGGAGGAGACGTCCCCCCCCCCCCGCCGGACATCGGAGCTTCGTTCCGATGTCCGTTGGAGGGAGGAGACGTTCCCCCCCGCCGCCGGACATCGGAGCTTCGTTCCGATGTCCGTTGGAGGGAGGAGACGTTCCCCCCCCCGCCGGACATCGGAGCTTCGTTCCGATGTCCGTTGGAGGGAGGAGACGTTCCCCCCCCGCCGGACATCGGAGCTTCGTTCCGATGTCCGTTGGAGGGAGGAGACGTTCCCCCCCCGCCGGACATCGGAGCTTCGTTCTGATGTCCGTTGGAGGGAGGAGACGTTCCCACCCCGCCTGACATCGGAGCTTCGTTCCGATGTCCGTTGGAGGGAGGAGACGTTCCCCCCCCGCCTGACATCAGAGCTTCGTTCCGATGTCCGTTGGAGGGAGGAGACGTTCCCCCCCGCCGGACATCGGAGCTTCGTTCCGATGTCCGTTGGAGGGAGGAGACGTCCCCCCCCCGCCGGACATCGGAGCTTCGTTCCGATGTCCGTTGGAGGGAGGAGACGTTCCCCCCCCCCGCCGGACATCGGAGCTTCGTTCCGATGTCCGTTGGAGGGAGGAGACGTTCCCCCCCGCCGGACATCGGAGCTTCGTTCCGATGTCCGTTGGAGGGAGGAGACGTTCCCCCCCCGCCGGACATCGGAGCTTCGTTCCGATGTCCGTTGGAGGGAGGAGACGTTCCCCCCCCCGCCGGACATCGGAGCTTCGTTCCGATGTCCGTTGGAGGGAGGAGACGTTCCCCCCCCCGCCGGACATCGGAGCTTCGTTCCGATGTCCGTTGGAGGGAGGAGACGTTCCCCCCCCGCCGGACATCGGAGCTTCGTTCCGATGTCCGTTGGAGGGAGGAGACGTTCCCCCCCCCGCCGGACATCGGAGCTTCGTTCCGATGTCCGGCGGCGGGAGGAGGTCCGAGGACAGTGGGGAAGACGCGCTGCGCTTCCCCGCTGTCCCGGAGATTTCCCTATGGGCTGTCGTCTTGCGAAGCAAGCCCATAGGGAAATTCGTTTTGCGAAGCGCCTCCAAAACGGAAAACCCTTTCGTCTAGCGGGTTTTCCGTCTTGCGAGGCGTTCGTCTTGCGGGGTACCACTGTACAATGCATTCCCATAAGTCATTTTCAGCAATATGTACATTTTTATGTTTGCATTTCCCTAATGAACATGTTTTTGTACACATCTATTTGGCTGGAGAACTGCATCGCAAAATTCAGAGAAGTGCAATTTCAAATGACGGCCATGTTTAAATTAGCACCAGGAGTGGATTGCTCAGTGGGGAGAAGCCTCTGAAATGGACTTCTGACAGGAATTGGGAGGGGTGAGGTCAGGGCTGCCTGGATGCATCCACACAACAACCCTGTGAGGCAGGTTAGGCAGAAAGACAAAATACCGTATTTCACCGCATCATTGTTGCCACCTCATAATAGTCACACCCCTTTATTCGGGCCCTAAAATCAGTCCCAAAGCATTCACTGCATAATAGTGGCAGGGCATTCTCAGAGCACATGCTCAGTACCGGCTGAAGGTGCAAGGGGAGCGGACGGACGGGCGGACATATCTGCCATGAGTGAGGCACGAGAGACCTTGATTGCACCAAAAACAGTTATTAACAATTAATAAGCAACATAAACATAAGCATGTTCGGCAATAAAAAAATGTTTCCTCACATAATGGTTGTGCTTCGGTTTTTCACCACATAATCGCCACACCATCCTTTTTTTGGTAAAGAAGAATCAGCATTAAAACTGTGACTATTATGCAGTGAAATACAGTAACTCAGTGAATTTTGCGGCTGAGGGACAAATTAGATGGTTGAATACCCTCCTGGCTTTTTCTGTTTGTTAATGACTATTAGTAAGTAGAAGGCTGATAATTTCACTGGAAGACTGAAAGGATGAGCTTCACTGGGTACATGGCAGCAGCGGATAAAGATTTATTCATCGCCATCCCTCCTGCCACCTCATAGACCAGCAAATGGACATAAAGTTTCTTCCCAGCCCAGGTCATGGAGAGATTTGGGGAGAGGATGCTGAGAAGCAACCTTGTCAAATTGCTCCAGATCGTCTTCCATTCCACATCTCCACCAGGGCAGCGATGGAGGTGTTGTCATAGTATTCTCCATCATCCTTTGGATATTTTGGAAATCTGTTGGATCTGTTAGTCTTTGTGGGGTGGCTGGCTATTCCAGTGGCATAGCATGGGCGGGGCAGCCGGGGCAGTGGCCCTGGGAGCATTTTTTAAGGGCAATTTTTTTTGGGGGGGGGATGCCTGCTGTATCCTCATGCCACCCCTGCGGCTCAACCCCGTGCCACTCTGTGAGGGCAGCTGCTTTTTGTTTCGCTGGCATGGGTGGTGGAAAGACTATATGAACAGAAGTTGGGATGATAATTTTCCAAGCTTCTTCTGCAGAAGTATGAGGAACAATTGCTTTCTGGGTACGATGGCTCCATTTGGTTGAGCTGTCTTAAGGGCTGGGGGTGGTGGTTGCCCTCATAGGTGACATTATGCTGGGTCATAAGGAAAGGGTTAAATGAGTGTGAAGTGATTGGCAAGTGGGAACCCAAGGGGAGGAGTAAGAGTTAGTGTTGTTAAGGAGTCAGTCGGGTGTTAGAGAAGAGAGAGTGAGGATACGTCTGTAGGTTGGGATAGTTTTGATGTGAGAGAGTGAGAGAATCTGTTAAGAGGAGTCAGATAGACAGTGGAGATAATCATTTAGAAGTTATTAGGAAGGTATAGGCCGGTAAAGAAACTAAGATTAAGAAACTGACAAGAAAAATTATCTGAAACCATAAACTTGTTAAGGCTTATAAAATAAACTTGTTTATTTGGTTTAATGTTAACAACAGTCTGGACTCCGTGTGTACCCGAGAGAAACGGGTTGGTGGCAGCGGGGAAGCAATCACAGTGGTGGCACAGGGATCAACAGACCGTCAAACGTCTGGGGACCCTGTGTGATCGCCACAGGGGGATATTATTATTTTTTTAAATTGCAGCCTCAGCATCTTCCATTTATTGTTGACCATAGTCATTTTGAAAATAATGGATCTTATTTTCTTCCTGTTGCTCTGCAGCACTGGCCTATTTCCTGTGTCTGGCCGGTCTGTTGATTTTAATGCCAAAGAACTAATTACACAGAGGTAAAGGATAATGATTTGTAAAGGATATGATCACGTGGGTTACAGGGATTGTACACGCAGGTCCGGCTATCAGAATACTTCTCATGCAAAATTTCAGTTATCTGAACACAAAGAATTATACTCAAACTTTGCTACACAAATGGTTGATTCAGATATCTGAATGTCCAGAGTTTGCCCCTTTCTTTAGTTGTCTGTGTTTTGCTGGTCACTGGCAGTCATTTCAGGCAGAAATCTTGGAGGGAGAGGGAGATTAGCAAGATCAGGGAGCAGGAGAGATCAGACAAATCACATTTTTTTGCCTTTTTTTGGGCAGAAACCAGGGACAGAAGGAGACAAATCACAGATTAGAAATGTTCCCTTCGGAAATAATGGAAATCACCAGCTCATTATGTGAACACTCACCTAATGAATGATTTTCCTGGGAATGCATTCTGTTCAGAGAGCAGGATCTGTGTGTACACATAATACACATAGGCTGTGTTCATATATTTTCCCTTATAGATGGAAAAGCATCATACATAATTGGAAAAATGGTCCACAGAAAAGGGCTGTACATCCCAATGCAGTTTTTCATTTTTTAAAGTCCAAGCACAAGTTTGGAGACTGTTACATGCATCTAGTTTGGACCCAACATTTCTCCAGAGATATGGCTTGATCACACATGCAGATTCATTGGGTGGTTACGGTCTGCATGCTAGTTACACATCATTAAAGTAGATGTAAATTAAAGATGGCATGGATCTAAGGAAACCACCTATGGGGTCTTGCTGCTATCAAGTCCCCCTTGGTCTCTTTTTGTTGTTTTATGAGTGACTTGGTTGTGCTAACTGCCCACTCCTCTATCCTCAGCTCTATGGCCAGTACACAGACAACCTCTGCAGTCTTTCCCGGAAGGAAGAAGATGAACTCCTGGGGGAGAAGAGGCCCCAACGCAATGGCCAGGGGCCCCTGAAGCGAGTCAGCCAGGCCGAAGTGAAAGCAGAACGCTACTCCAAGTGCCATGGTAGGCCTCAGTGAAGCCCTGCTTTTCCAACGGGCTTTCCACACTGGTACACTATCCAGCGTGAAAATGGATGGAGTTAATTGTGTCAGGGTGTGTGTGGATGCAATGAAACAATCCCAGAGGTGAATAGAAAGCTTTGGTACTTTCATTCCATCTTCTGGAAGCTATCTACCTTCTGGAGAACCTTCCTACTACACTGGTGTGTAGTGAGGAGCTGCACATTGACCATCAAATAACTGTGGCAGGAGTGGGGAACCTCTGGTCCTTCAGATGCTGCTGAACTACGTCTTCCATCAACCCCAGCCAGCATAGACAATAGTCTAGGCTGATGGGAGACGTACTGTACCACAACAACATTTGGAAGGTCAGAATTTCCCACACCTGCTGCATGGGTTACAGAAACAGGCTTGAGATAAGAGTTGAGGAACTTTTCACAAGTGACTAACTGGTTAAATGGCACTATTATGTGCTACTCGTTTCCCAGCAAGGTGATGCATTCCAGGAGCAGCTTCCTGGGTTTGGTTTCTGAAGTCGCTGGACATTTATGGTGGGTTCTGTAGCATTTGAGTTTATTTACAAATATGCATGTTGAATGCAGGTGGTAGAAATAAGAACTTAAATGCTCTTACAGTCGAAAGGAAGCTATCACCAGGAATGACTAGCCATAGCAATAGGAAGACAGTGGAATAAATTGGCTCAAGAAAAGGATTAGGCAAATGTAATGGTGTTTGGGGCCATTAATATACAGAATGAGATAATTCAGAAATGATAACTTACTCTCAATGCGCCTTACACATTTTTGAGCTCTGGAAAGTAGGAGTTCATGGAAGGAGACCAGTGACTGACACCACAATGTGGCTTTTATCATATTGTTCTTGAATGCACAACATGTAATGTCCTGTTAGATGGACTATTCAGGTCTGCCAGTTTTACAATTTTCACAGATTAGGTGAAATGGGAAACATTTCTTATTTTTTCTTGTTTGTTTTATGCCTACTTTTTGCTGATTTTAAGCCAAATGCACAGTCAATATTTGATTAAGTACATGGATTGAAGCTGATTTGATTCCTATTGAATTCATTGAAGCTGATTGAACTGATATCCAAGTACTGCAGCTTTTTGTCAGCTCGCACTGTTATGGTCTGAAATTTCTTTATCCTCCACAGCCTGCGCTAAAAGAATCCAGAACTATGTTACCAAGAAGATGGGAGAAGACTGGATCTTCTTGGTCCTCCTGGGCCTTGTCATGGCACTGGTGAGCTGGGGGGTGGATTACTCCAGTGCCAAGAGCCTGCAAGGTAGGTGGACTGACCCTTTGCGACCCCCCAACTCATTTGTTGTTCACGGGGTACATTGTTTGCACCAAAAACCCTTCATTAATAACACAAATCCAGAAGAATTGGACTTTAGGACATTCCCACCCCATGTGGAAGTATGTACCTGTGGAGGTGCATCCTCTCCAGCATTTTGGTGAGACTCCTGGGCGTATCAGCGCTAGTTTATGTGGTGTTAGGTACCATCTGTAAGTGAGTTTCAGAGTGAGTTCTTTTCGCTGATATGGATTTAAAGGGAGGTTTAGACCACTTTCTAGTCCATTGAGTGGGGTTAATCTCATAGCCTATGTTGTCCTCCAGTTGTTTTTTGATTATGTCGAGGGGGTTTGTGGGATTTTGGAGCGGTATTTTGTCTATTGCGGATACCATCCCTTTGCCATGTCCCTTTGTTGTTAGGAGGAGGTTTTCGAAGGTTGTCAAGGGCCTAGTTGCTGCTGATTTTACTACTGGATTGTTTAAGAGGGCATGTAATTGGTGTATGTAACACTAATGTCTCACAACAAATGAAACTGATCTGTAGAAAATGCAACTTGAAAAAAGAGACAGTGCACATGTTTTTGTAAACCAAGAAATAAATAATAATATATATATATATAACATGAATCCATGTTACAGGCTGCTGGGAAGAGCAATAACAAGGGAGAATATCTGTGTGAAGTTTGAAAGGTCTTAAAAAACAACAGACCAGGTTTGCAAAGGCATATATGTACTCTTGTATAGACAGCTATGAGCAGCAATCTACACCAACTCTCACCTGCCAATTTGAAGAAAATACATCCAGACCCCTGTTCCTGAATCCAGTAATAGCTATGACATGGCTGCCTTTACCTTACACAAAGTTAGGGAACAGCATTCACTCTGCATGTGGCTCCAGCCTCATTGACCATTGAGGGGAATCCCCAACCCCTGCTGAGGTACACAATATGAAGTCAGAGCTGAAGCAGTCACGAGAGAGTTAGAAGAATGGGGTGCGGGTGACAGTGACACAGGCAAACAGCTATGGCAGTCTTTGGGTGCCTCCTGCGTAAAGGTAAAGGGACCCCTGAGCATTAGGTCCAGTCATGACCGACTCGGGGGTTGCGTGCTCATCTCGCTCTATAGGCTTATAGGTTTGTCCGCAGACAGCTTCCGGGTCATGTGGCCAGCATGACTAAGCCGCTTCTGGCGAACCAGAGCAGCGCACGGAAACGCTGTTTACCTTCCCGCTGCAGTGGTACCTATTTATCTACTTGCGCTTTGACGTGCTTTCAAACTGCTAGGTTGGCAGGAGTAGGGACCGAGCAACGGGAGCTCACCCCATCGCGGGGATTCGAACTGCCGGCCTTCTGATCGGCAAGTCCTAGGCTCTGTGGTTTAACCCACAGTGCCACCTGCATCCCCACCCCAGAGTTGGGGTGACCCCACCCCTAAACCCTAGAAATTAATACATTGTAGGATTTTGATTAATTGAGATATGAATGAAAGTACAAGCTGCAGAACTGTGCCAGACAAGGAATTCCCGGGCTGGCTTGTGCACACCAGCCTGGCTGGCCTAGCAAAGAGCAAATCTTTTGACGTGATAAAAGGGGTTGATGGGCCATCGGAGAGGAATCCTTTGGCCTGGGGAGACAGGTGTTGCCAAGGTGATAGGGCGTGTGTTTGAGGTGACAGGGAAGAGTTTTTGAGCAAGATGGTCTGGGAAGAAGAAGAGGGAAGAAAAAAGTCTGGGATCCATCTTGGGCAGGTTGGCTGCAGGCTGGCTGGGAGAGATGCCTCAGACTCCAGGGCTGCACTGCTGGGAAGGACAAGCTCCTCTTGAAATGACCATGCTAGACTCCCTCCATGCAGACTGAAGGTGTAAATAGGTGAACAAACCATATTTCTTAAAGCTATGACACTCTTTGCTGTGTCTCAGTTTTCCGAAGGTACACAGACCCTGGGTGAATGCCAGGAACCCCATGGGTTCTTGCCACCACTCGACAGAGAGAAGAAGAGGCACCCAACTTTTGTAACCCATTGTTCCGCATGTATCTGATGCTTGCTAGTCCTCCATCTCCCACTGTGGCTGTGTACACCCTATACCTTTAAAGCACATTGGAAGCAGTTTCTTTCCCCTCAGAGAATTCTGGGCTCTGTAGTTTGTTACTGGTTTCTGGGAATTGTAAATCTGTAAGTACTCAGAATATCAGAAGGTGACATTTTCCTCCTAATTGGAGTTCCATCTTACAAAAGGCTTTCTATATTTAATATCTGCTGCCACATAGCTGTTAAAGGCACAAGAGTCCTGCTCTCCCCCAATGCCAACCCTAAAACTATGCCAAGAACTCAAGTTTCATGAGCTGTAAAATAAGCTATGTTACTGCCGTAGGTCTTTCACCAGCTCATCTTCAGCTGGCAATACAGCGGTACCTCTGGCTACGAACTTAATTCATTCTGGAGGTCCGTTCTTAACCTGAAATTGTTCTTAACCTGAGGTACTACTTTAGCTAATGGGGTCTCCCACTGCTGCCACCGCGAGATTTCTGTTCTCATCCTGAGGTAAAGTTCTTAACCCGAGGTACTACTTCCGGGTTAGCGGAGTCTGTAACCCGAAGTGTTTGTAACCTGAGGCTTTTGTAACCCGAGGTACCACTGTACTACATTCAGTGCAAGACCAGGCATGGCATTTCAGGTGCAGGGGGTCAAAAGTGATTTTAAGATTTAGGGCAGTTTTGTTTAGATGCTCATGCTTGGATAAATAGTTAAACAACAGGCAGCATATTCATTTGTTGTGGTGGTTTATTAATACTTCAGAATAAGTACAGCATTTTTTCCCCTTTTTCATTTCTGTGCAAAAAGGCTTTGAAATCTCCACTCAGCCATGGACTTGGCGCCCTTGCAACAACAAAAGCATTTGAGTGTTTTATCTGCAGCATCAACTCCCCCTCAAGAACCCCCATATCCCACCCCCACCCCCCCGGTAGGAAAGCAACCAGTCTCCTTGTTACAGTCAACTTAACCACCCCACTCCGCCCATAGCTGTCAGAGTTTCCCTTTTTCAAAGGGAAATTCCCTTATTCCGAATAGGATTCCTCGCAAGAAAAGGGAAAAGTTGACAGCTATGACCCTGCCACTGCTGTATTTCAGGGAGGCAGGGGATACATACTAAGATATTGGGCAACCATAACACTCCAATCAATTATGAAGCACACAATGAACATTTCTCTCCAGCACTGTGGCTGATGGGAATTGTAATCCTCGACATCTGGAGGGTGCCATGTTGGGGAATTTGGTTTAGTTTGTTGCTCGTTGGATTCTTTTCATGCTCTGAAGTTGCTGGCATTTGTTTTTATGTCCCCACTACAGCTTACAAGTGGATGTACAACTCGCTGCACCCGAGTATCCCTATGCAGTACCTGGCCTGGGTGACCTATCCGCTCGTCCTGATCCTCTTTGCTGCCCTCTTCTGCCAACTTGTCTCTCCACAGGCTGTGGGTGAGAGAGAGCAAGGGATGGGAAGGGATTTGCCTGTCTGTCTCAGGCTAAGGACGCCTCCTGACATCTTTTTCATTATGCATTTGTGATGATTTGTGCTGGCGATGCTGTCGGGGAGGTCATAAACAACCCCTCTTTCAGTGCAGTTTGTGCCTGCAAAAGTTTGGTGGCAGTCACACTGCCATACCTGTCAAGTGTCCTGGGAAAAACGGGAAATCCTATTTTATTGTGCAACATCGTGGCGGGCATTTAGGGTGCTACGCGCTCTCATGCCGCAATCTTGCCCGCCAAAGCACTTTGGGGGTCGTGATTGCAGCGTGAATTACGTGACTTGCCCAGGAGTTCATCCTTGAAGACACGTGTCCCATTTTTTAATCTGAAAAAGTTGGATGGTGTGCACTGCTTCATTTCTAGTCAGGATATAACTTTAACTTCCTGCTGGAATTCCGTCACTTTCCACATCACAAATGTTCTAGTTTATTTTTTGTCCCTTCTTTGTTGTGCTATCGCTCCTCCAGAAAGCAATAACATGGTAGCATAGGGGAAGCATTGGAAAACCCAGCCAGGTGGACAGGGTATTATTATTATTATTATTATTAATAATAATAATAATAATAATAATATAAAGCAGAATAAACCCACTGCCAATGCACTGTTACTGTGTTAAGAACACGTTGCAGAAAATATACCTGCAATAAAACACCAGTGGTGTTTTATTGCAGGTATATATACCTAGAAGGTACGTATATTTATTGCAGGTATATCCAGTTGCTGCTGGATAATCTAAGGGCCCTTAGGTTATCCAGCAGTAACAAATCCATTTCTTTGAAGCCTAGGCTTGCCCCAGTCATGTATGCAGTCTCCCCCCACCTCCCATTTTTAGAGCAAGAAGGGAGCATGGCCAGAGGGAGTTGATGTTTTCTGTTCTTGCCTCTTAATTCCCTTAGGCGTTTTCCTCCCAGAAGATTGGGGTGGGGTGAGGGGGATGACATCAGGAGAGGGACCATGGGGGGAGATTAGTTGCAGAGAGAAGGAAGAATTTGGCTCCCCACATACCCCGTTTGTTCAGAACCCCCTGCTTTCTTTGCAATAGGAGCCAACCTTGTTTTCAGCTAACAGGTGTTTATCACCTGTAGTTTGAGCCACAGTCTCTCTGCACAGGTGTGGCACAATTCCTCACCTGTCCTTTCTGCTTTGTTCAGGCTCCGGGATCCCTGAGCTGAAAACCATTATGCGGGGAGTCGTCCTCAAGGAATACCTCACACCCAAAGCTTTTGTGGCCAAAGTTGTAAGCCTGACAGCTGGCCTAGGAAGTGGGATACCTGTCGGGAAAGAGGTGAGCACCGCTGGGGCTTGGGGAGGGGAGAAGGGCAAGTCGCAGAAGGCAGGGAGTGTAATTTCATTATACACCTTTAGGTGCCAGGCAAAAATGTTCCTCTTTAACCAGACCTTTTGCTGATTGACGTCCAATGCCTTTTTAAAATGTGTTAGGGAGGAGAGAGGTTACTGGGTTGTTTATGTTTTTATTATGTATTTTGTGATTTTATGTTGTGATTTCATGTTGTAACTGCCCTGAGACCTGCAGGTATATGGTGGTATGCCATTATTATTATTATTATTATTATTATTATTATTATTATTATTTAATATTTTAATGCTTCAATATCTTAATGTTGCATTTTAATTTTGTTTATAAGTTATAATCATTCAACTTGTTTTTATTATTGCTTGTTAGCCACCCTGAGCCTGGCCTTGGCTGGGGAGGGCAGGGTATAAATAAAAATTATTATATTAGTGCTGGGGAGGCAGATTTCATCCCCATCACCTCTATTTCTGATGTTCAGGCTATGAGTGCTGCTTCTAATGAAGCCCAGACAGCACCAGCTACACATAATTCACAGGCTTGGGGAAACCCTGAGGCTTGCAAAAATAGAAACATAAACAGTTGTACCTTGGTTTTCGAACAGAATGCGTTCCAGAAGTCCATTTGACTTCCAAAACATTCGGAAACCAAGGCACGGCTTCCAATTGGCTGCAGGAGTGTCCTACAGCCATTCAGAAGCCACGCTGGACGTTTGGCTTCCGAGGCAAAGTTCACAAACTGGAACACCTACTTCCCGGTTTGCGGCGTTCAAGTTCCGAGTTGTTAATGAACTAAGCTGTTCAAAAACCAAGGTACGACTGTATTTAAAGTGACAGATGTTCTGTTAGGGGAACCCAAAACAGCCCATTGAGGACTGAGGGTGCTTAGTGGCCACGGAGTGCTGTCCAGCTGTTGGGGAAGAGAGAACAGAATGAAACATCTGGGATACAGAACAGCGGCACCCCACACTGCAACATTTTGTTGCAGTTTCTACTTGTGCCCGTCTGTTTCCTATTGCCTTAGGAGGTTGAAGGTGGCTAACTCAGCCGCTCTAATTTCTTAGAGGGGGAGGCAGGCCAGGCAGAAGGGTTGCCATTGGTTGAGCTCCTAGGAAGGGGCATGGGGAATGATGGGTGTAGTGGCTGTAGGGTCAGCAGGCAGAACCATAGGATTGGAAGGGAACCACAAGGGTCATCTAATCCAACCCCCTGCAATGCAGGAATCCTGAGGAAGGAGGCAGGTAGAAGGTAAGGTTGGAAGATGGAGCAGTCCTAATGAGGACAGGGCCAGGAGGAGGAGGGCTGGGGAGAAAGAGCAGGGCAGGTGGTTATGTGAGCTTTATCATGTGACCCAGGAGCTTCTGAGGTGGGGAAGGCTGATGCTCACACATTGCTTTGAAATAATAAGCAGCCGATCCTTCGACTGGAGGCCTCTCTCTCAGGCTCCAGAGGGAGACACAAACCTAACCTTCTTCCTCTCCCATTAAGGACCTTTTAACCCACCTTGTCATTTCAATTACATTTATGATCTTGCCAGCCACGCATGGGCTGCCTAAAGGTAGATTTCGAAAGTGTGCCTTTTCAGTGGCATGAGAGAGTCTTACAAAGATGTTGGTGGGTCTGGGAGTGATAAAAACAGATAGGAGAGGCAGAATCTTTGCTACTTTTTGGCATAAATCTGAATTGAACGATGCTCCTCAACCTTCCTTCCTTCCTTCCTTCCTTCCTTCCTTCCTTCCTTCCTTCCCTCCTTCCCTCCTTCCCTCCCTTCTTCCTTCCGCAGGGCCCCTTTGTGCATATTGCCAGCATCTGTGCTGCTGTCCTGAGCAAGTTCATGTCCATCTTTTGCGGTGTGTATGAGGTAAGTGTTCTGCATGCTCCATCTGGTCTGTGATGGAGGCTGTCAAAGGGGGAGGGGGAGCCTCAGAGACCCAGAATATTGAAGGCAGGACCAGAATGAATAAAAAACAGAATAATTCTAGACTAGCTGGCCAGAGGGAAATGACAGCAATTGGCAGGTTTAGCTGTTACAATAAAATAAAATACAGAGGAACCCTGTATTTTATTTTGGAAAAAGGCTTTGGAAGCTAAAACCACTCCATGCCTAGTCAGGGTTAGGGTCACCCTATTATCTTCTTTAAAAAACAAAAACAAACAATCCTAAAATATCGGAAGCAAAGCTTGGCTCCCTGAAAACCAAGCTTCTTTGTAAACCGAATTGCTGGTTTTTAGACCATTTGCTGGAAAAGTTAAAAGGACTTCTGTCAAAGGATCAGAAATCAAAGAGGGCTTGAACAGGGATCCTGATAGCTGGGGAGGAGCCTATGATAATCTGCACATCCTCCTATTCCACACGCATCACTCTACTTGCCCTGTTCAACACCTGACCTTGTAAAAACATGTATCCGCATTCTTGCAAGCCTGAATCTTGGAAGCCAAATTTTGCAAAACGGGTGGGATGTACGTAAAACAGTGTACACCAGCACAATTTCACTTTCTTTTGCCCAGAAATAGTGTTTTGCATTTTGGCGCACAAGGTCCAAACTTTGGTCACTGCTACCCATATATACGGGCCGCGGGTGGTGCTGTGGGTTAAACCACAGAGCCTAGGACTTGCCGATCAGAAGGTTGGCAGTTCGAATCCCCGTGACGGGGTGAGCTCCCGTTGCTCGGTCCCAGCTCCTGCCAACCTAGCAGTTCAAAAGCATGTCAAAGTGCAAGTAGACAAATAGGTACCACTCTGGCAGTACAGTAAACGGCGTTTCCGTGCGCTGCTCTGGTTCACCAGAAGTGGCTTAGTCATGCTGGCCACATGACCCAGAAGCTGTACGCCGGCTCCCTTGGCCAATAAAGCGAGATGAGCGCCGCAACCCCAGAGTCGGTCACGACTGGACCTAATGGTCAGGGGTCCCTTTACCTTTTTACCCATATATACTGTGTGGTTGAGCAGCTGTAAATAAGCACAAATGATTTCATCGAGGCTTGTGCATTAGTAGCAGGCATCAAGACGTCCGGTGGGATGGGGGCTTTTAAAAATAAATAAATAACAACACATAAACATTACAGTAAGAAACGTGGTTGTTGTAAGCAGTTGTGTTTTGAGGCTGGCGTGGCTTATTGCGTACAACGCTGGCTGAACGACTAAAGAGGCTCAAGCTCTGTAGCAGTGGCTGGCTTGGCTGCGCAATACCGTTCCAATAGCTGGTAACAACTGCCAGGCTAGTATGGAGAACTGGCACATAGGCTATATAGTATTTGGTGGTGCGTACAAAGGAACGGGGTCACCGTAGGTGCTGGCTGTGTGTAGTGACTGGCTCACTGCTCACTTCCTCTGTGAGAGAAGGCTGGTTTTGCTGCTCGCTGTTGCTTTGTGCTGGAGGAGGAGGAGGAGGAGGGGGGAGGAGAGGACTAACCTTGTGGCTGTGCTCCCACCTAACCCTGGCATGCTTCTCTCTGGCTGGCCTCTCTATTCCAGAATGTGCACAGGCAGCTCGAGCTCCTGGTGGCGGCTTGCGCAGTTGGAGTTGGATGTTGCTTCGGGGCTCCTCTTGGAGGCAAGTGCAATTCCTGTATTTATGACAGGTGTTTACCCACCCCACCCCCCGCTCCCGACTGAGGAAGTTTCTGGAATGGAAGCCATGTTTTCTGCTCAACTGACAACCGTCGTGGTGCTGCGGTGTGGTTCTTTTACCTCGCGTAACCCAACAGAGAAACAGAAAATGCAGTGAAGGGACATCCTGTGGGAAATAGAAAGTGACTTTGGTGCAAGGATGTGTTGGGCAGGGAATAATAATAATAATAATAATAATAATAATAATAATAATTTATTACTTATACCCCGCCCATCTGGCTGGGTTTCCCCAACCAACTTGGACAGCTCCCAACAGAATATTTAAAAAACACAATAAAACATCAAACATTAAAAACTTCCCTTAACAAGGCTGCCTTCAGATGTCTTCTAAAAGTCACATAGTTGTTTATTTCCTTGACATCCGATGGGAGGGAGTTCCACAGGGCGGGTGCCACTACCAAGAAGGCCCTCTGCCTGGTTCCCTGTAACCTTGCAGAGAGGAAACTGCCAGAAGGCCCTTGGAGCTGGACCTCAGTGTCTGAGCTGGACTATGGGGGTGGAGATGCTCCTTCAGGGAATGACATAAATCACATATGCCAATAATATCTAGCTGCCTCTATTTTTCAGGGACAGTCCCTATTTTCCAGCTCTCCCTCTCTCCAGTAAATCACAGTTTCTCTTCCCCCTACCCCATTTCTTTTGCATCTTGGGGGAAATCTGGGGTGCTGTTAAAATAACATTGTTAGCATGGATACAACAGGGGGTATTACCTTCTCTGTCATTCTTCTCCCATAACTGCCTATCCAGATAGAAATGAGCGGGAGCTTTTCAGTATTTCCATATTCACACTTCCTTTCTGAAGTAGCACAATTCCATAACCTTATTATATTTTTGCACATAGAGTGTGGCTTTAACTTCCCCATCTTTCCTTGTCCAAACTTCAACAAAGCAAGGAAAGCGTTGTACACCTATTCCGCCATTTTCCATTGAATGTCTCCAAACTGCTCATATCTTGTTTTCTTGCAGGAAACTGTGGAAATCCTACACATGTGCCAAGCGCTGCACTAGGAAGATGCTGCCTATTGTAGCTTCCTAGCACGTTTACATGTAGCCATTGACACATGCCCCGAATTTTCACGCATGACCATCTACTTGATAAATCATTGCAGTTTCCTACACTTCTGGGTTGGAGCTGTGTGATTTGTGAAATTTGTAACATACACTACATCTCTTAACCCCTTGAACAATTGACACCTGAATACATTATTCACATGTGACTCTGGAAAGATGGGGGAATTCTGCATTTGCAAGAGCTGAGGCCTTGTCTCTTGCATGAATCCCTTCTGGTATTACATCACCTTCTTGCTAAGTGCACCCAAGCTTGTGTGTTGGTGAGAAATGAGGCAGGAACTCTTGGCATATACAGTGGTACCTCGGGTTACAAACACCTCAGGTTACAAACACTTCAGGTTACAGACTCCGCTAACCCGGAAGTAGTACCTCGGGTTAAGAACGTCACCTCAGGATAAGAACAGAAATTGTGCGCCAGCGGCACGGTGGCAGCAGGAAGCCCCATTAGCTAAAGTGGTACCTCAGGTTAAGAACAGTTTCAGGTTAAGAACGGACCTCCGGAACAAATTAAGTACGTAACCAGAGGTACCACTGTACAGGATCTTCCAGTGGGTTCAGTGTGCGTTGTTAGATAACATCTATGGTATTGATCATTCTTTGACACTAGCTACCAATTCTGTCACTCATTCTTCCCTTTCTCTGCTTCTGTGTCTCACTTTGTGTGTCTCTGTGTGTCTTTGTCTTTCTCTCGCTCATGTCTCTTCCACCAGTAGCAGCCATATTATTACACAGATGTCCTGACTGTGGGATGTGCAGTAGGGGTTGGCTGCTGTTTCGGGACACCACTAGGAGGCAAGTGAATGCTGGCTATCGTCTAACTTTCACTAGAAACCTTGCATCGTTCCTCCTCCCCACCCAGCCCAAATTATATCCCACCCTCTAAATTCCTTTTTCTAATGCAGGCAGATTCCAGGCTTGTTAGGACTCTTTGGTTGTTGTTTTTGTTAAACTAGAAACCCACAGTCTACCAAGTGCGAGACACACACAGGTGAATCAAAAAACCTCTAAACATAGGGATTTGCTTTTCTGTACTGGAACTGAACATCCTTATCTCACACAAAAGACCACTCCTGGTTAGCTTTCTTCATTTCAGCAACCTAATTTATGTGGGGAAAGCCATGTTGTTCCTGCCATTGTTAAACAGTTGGGAGTCAGAAACCATTCCTGATCTACAGCAAATCTCCCAGAGATCTACGAGTAGACCCCAATCTACCTTCTTCTCTAGCTATGTTTTTTTAAGCATTTGGTTTTGGATAACTGGCCAGCACACCCTCTATCTACCCTGGCAGCACAGAAGCTGTTTCCATATTGGCTCATACCATTCCAGCCAAACACTTACCTTGGAATCATGTGTCCAGGGCTGATGCTGTGGTTCAGAGAAGCACCCATTAGTGTACCAGTATGGAAAGAAAGCAATTGGGAAGCAGTTCCCACTCCACTGAGCTAGCGGTTTCCAAACTTCTTTCTGGGGAACTCTGCCATTTTCTTGGAAGTTTATCAATAGTTCCTCAATGAGACCATCTGTAATGGTGGACGAGTTTCCCTGGAAAACAGCTTGTTTCACTATTATAGTGTTTTCCTCCACTTTCAGTTCACACAGCATAATTGTCCATAATTTCATATGAAGTGATGCACAGAATATGATCCACCAATCCTTTGCAATGCACAGGGTTCCCTCAGCAGAGATAGAGACGGTTCCCTCAAAGCAGAAAGTTTGGAAACCCCTGTGCTGTTGAAATTGGGAATTGTTTATTTTCGCTCATGCTTAGCCTTAGCTGAAGGAAACCGTGTTAAGGTGAAACAGTTCAAACACAACAACCCTGCTGTTATTTTCTCTCTGCTACTTTTGCAAATTCCTGTTAATTCATGTGCTGGGGGAGTCGAATTCAAGGTAGTCTCAAGTGACTTTGGGAGCAGGTTGTGGTTGGGGAGAGGAGCTGTTATGCATTGCTGAGAACGTCCTTCTTCCCCATAGGTGTGCTCTTCAGCATCGAAGTAACTTCCACCTACTTTGCAGTTCGTAACTACTGGCGTGGATTTTTTGCGGCTACGTTCAGTGCCTTTGTTTTCCGAGTCTTTGCTGTCTGGAACAAAGACGCAGGTAGGATTCAAGGACTGACTTCCTTCCTAGTCTCTGCTCTGACTGTACGTCCTCCTCCATCCCAAGGGTGTCACTGCACAAGTGACTTCTTCAAGGTTGTAGGGATGGAGGGAGAGAGTCAGGTGAACTCTTTTAGCATGCTGTTCTAGCGCTGTGCGTTGCTACCCGCTCCCTCTTCCAGTTCTTACATTCATCTACATGACAGGCAGAAGTATAGGAGCCAACTCCTAGGGACTGAGGGAGCTTCGCCACCCCCAATAAAATATTTGAATGGGGTGTGTGATCGATTGCATGGGGCGGGGTTTACTTGCCCCCTCCCCAAAATGTTATTCAAGAGACTTCCGGAGGCGGCGCGAAACAAGTAATGGCGGTCCTCTTTGCGCTGCGAAGAGGGGCTCCGCAGGAAAGGGTCGTTCGCTGCGGCAAAGCGACGACCCATTAAGATAAACCACGAGCAGAGTGAGCTCGTGGCCGTGGGATCCGGCGGGCACCTAGAGCGACCCCCAAAACGAAGAAGGGTCCCCGTAAGGGGGTCCGGAAGCGCGGAGGGGAAGCGGTGCTGTGGATTCATCGCTCTTTCTGCGGGAGTGAAGCCGCGCGGCTGTTGCTGATGAGCGCCGACCTTTCTTCCTTAAGAATTGGACTTTAAACTATCTACTCATGAGTAAGAAGAGTATTAATTTCGGGACTGTAAATTAAAAATTTGGCTGAAAGCGGGAGACGAGAAAAAGGAAGTCCGTCTCCCGGTAGCGCTTAGAGATCAAAGGCAAAGGATTTGACAAGCTGGAAGCAATAGAAAGGGACTTGAAAACGGGAAGTATCATGCGTCTGGCGGAGCTAGCAACTGAAGGGAAAGGCAAGCTTTTATTTTTCTATCTGCTATTGTGTTGATTATATTTGAGGATCCTCTCCTTTACTGGATTTTAAAAACTTTAAAAACCCCAGTCCCGGGCTGGCAGGGGAAAAAGGCTGCCTTGCGGATACATATATAAAGTTGAAATGGATACATAGAGGCATCATTGGTGGATACAATTAAATAACTGTATCTTGCATCTTCAGAAAAACTATTGTGGCAATATTGAAAGGGCTCTGCCAGTGGAAAAAAAAGTTTTTTTTTTAAGGACTATTGTTAATTTACTTAACTGCAGGAACTTTAATGGCGTCTGAAACTTTCTTTCTTCTTTCCTGAGCTGCAATAACACTCCCTCTAGTGGAGTTTGGGATTTACAAATTCCTGAGAACCAACTTTGTTTTGACTCTCTGTGGTTTGGTTATCTACTTTGAGGCCTGTCTTTCTCATGGAACATTTGACAGTTTGACCTTGAATCCAAAGTCAGGTGTGGAATGAGTGGCCCACCAAAAACAAGAGCTGCGTCGAAAGCAGGAAAAGGCCAATTAGTACAAACAACTCTGATTTCTCAGGCTCGCAGATCTTCAGTCCCTGCTGTCTTACAGGGAGCTGTACCCTCAACAACAGCTCCATCTAAGGAAGCGGAACAGCCAACAACTGAGGATATGGCAGCAGGGGGATCTGGTACTCTTTTAGAGGAAATGCTACAACAATTTGCAATTTTGAACAAAAAGGTTGATGACCAAACTGCAAAAATTGACTTAGCTACATCTTCAATCACTAAACTCTCTGAACAGGTGGCTAAGCATTCACAAGACATTGGGAATTTAAAGGACGCTACATCTGAAAATCGGAAATTGGCCGAGGCTGCGAATGAAAAAGCAGGTCAAGCAATTCAGAAAGTGGATGAATTGAAGGGAGAAGTAAGGCCGCTTCACAAACATATTAGTGACCAGCAGGCCTACCTGTCTATGGTGGAACTGAGAAACAGGGAAAATAATTTGAGATTACGCTCCATTCCAGAGATTGAGAAAGAGGACTTGACAGGTTTTTTGACAGCAGAATTCTCTAAATTCTGGGGTATAGAGGAAGATACAGATTTTAAAATAACAACTGCATTTAGACTGGGAAGAATTGCCAAGAAAGACAGGCCTAGAGATTGTTTGATCATCTTAAGGACCAAGCAAGAGAGAGACAAACTACTTGACCTACACTTCAATAAAGCACTTGAGATCCAGGACAGAAGAGCACAAATTTACAAGGATATTCCTAAACAACTACTGGATCTCAGATCTAACTACACCGACCTAGCTGGACTTTTGAGAAGCAACGGAATACCTTACAGGTGGGAGTTTCCACAAGGTTTATCATTTAACTACAAAGGAAAGAAGATTAAAATCAAAACGAAAGAGGATAGCCAGAAGTTTCTACACGATCACGGAGAAGACCTGCAGAAGGGAACAGCAGTTCCTTGGCCTCCACCTGAGTCTGGGAAAGAGCCAGCACCCTCGGATTTAGACAAGAAAGAAGACACCCCATAAAGAGCAACAACAGATTGATACAGGATGTCTCTACAGCTGTATAGCTGGAATATTAATGGCGCAAACTCCCCGGAAAAACGCAAAAGGATCTTTCACATTTTGAAGAAGGAACATTTGGATATAATTTGTCTGCAAGAAACTCACGTGACCAGGCTTCACAGGAAAGTGTTAATAAACAAAAGATTAGGCCAAGAATTTATCTCATCAGACAGAGTTAAAAAGAGAGGAGTGGTGATCTATGCAAAAGAGAATCTATCACCAAAATTTTTGTTTAAAGATGAACAAGGAAGAATCCTGGCAATTGAAATACAAATCCAAGGAGAAAAAGTTTTGATATTAGGAATCTACGCACCAAATGAGGGGAAATCAGAATTCTACAAGAAGCTTCACGAGACATTACTGGACTATCTGGATTATTCTAACATCATTATGATGGGAGACATGAATGGGGTGGTCTCTACCTATATGGACAAGTCACAGAACCAGAACTTGACTAAAGATGGAAGACTACCAAAAACTTTCTTCGAACTAACTGACAACATGGACTTGATTGATCTATGGAGGACGAGAAACCCCCTAGGTAAAGAAGGAACTTTCTTTTCTGAGGCCCACCTGTCTTGGACAAGAATCGACCAAATTTGGACAACTAGAGGGCTGGCACCTAAGACCACAAGAGTAGAAATCTGCCCAAAGACATGCTCCGACCACAACGCTCTGAAAATGGAAATGAGATTTACTACTGCCGACTCCTTCAGATGGAAAATGAATGACAACCTGCTAAGAGATCAAGAGATTGTAAAGAAGGCCCAAAAAACTTTAAAGGACTACTTTGAAATTAACCTCAACACCTCGGTGGAAAAAAGAATAATCTGGGACGCAAGTAAAGCTGTTATGAGAGGGTTTCTGATACAACAAAACACGATCAAGAAAAAACTTTGGAATGGGAAAAAGGATAAGATATTAGAGAAGATTAGAGATGGAGAGAAAAAATTAAGATTGAATCCAAAATCAAAAGAGACTTTAAGAGAAATTAAATTTCACCAGTCACAATATATGAAATTGATTAACCAAGAAGTGGAATGGAAAATCAAACAAATGAACCAAAGATCTTTTGAATCTGCGAATAAATGTGGGAAGCTGTTAGCTTGGCAGTTGAAAAAGAGACAAAAATTAAATTATGTTACCAATCTAGAAGTTGAAGGAAAAAACATCCAGAAACCGGGAGAAATTAGAAAGTGTTTCCAGAAATATTTCAAAAAACTGTACACCCAAGGGCCTGAGGAAGTGACCGAGATAGAACAGTTCTTGAAAGATAATGGCCTACCAGAACTATCTCAAGAGAAGAGATCAATCTTGAATTGTAAAATAACACAACAGGAAATCGAGGTTGCCATACAGAACATGCAGCTAGGCAAATCTCCAGGCCCTGATGGACTTACCTCCAAGTACTACAGGATGTTAAAGGACTACTTGACACAACCATTAATGGAGGTTTGTAACCAGATTATGGGGGGAGGGAGGGCACCAGAAACGTGGAAAGAAGCATTCATCACACTGATACCTAAAGTGGAGACTGAAAAGACTCAACTCAAGAACTACCGTCCCATCTCACTCCTAAATGTGGATTACAAAATATTTGCAGACATTTTGGCAAATAGATTTAAAAAGGTTTTAAATGAAGTAATTCATAAGACCAAGCAGCTTCTCCCAGGTAGACATTTGTTTGATAACACTAGAATATTATCGATATTCTGGAACTTTTACAAACAGATATTAACACTAAAGCAGTGTTAATTTTATTGATGCGGAGAAGGCCTTCGACAATATTTCTTGGAAATTATGAAGAAAAATTTGGAAGGATGGAGGTGGAAGGGGGTTTGAGAACGGAATAGAAGCAATCTATTCCGAACAAAAGCCAAGTTGATAGTGAACAATGTGGTGACAGAAGAACTTCAGATTGTGAAAAAGGAACACGTCAGGGGTGCCCCCTGTCCCCTTTATTGTTTATCTCAGTCCTGGAGGTCTTGCTGAACATGATAAGGAAGGACCGGCAGGTACAAAGGAGTACGGATCGGAGTGAAACAATATAAAACTGAAAGCATTTGCAGATGACTTGGTTTTAACATTACAGAGCCAGAATCTAGTACAAAAAGAGTTTTGGAACTGTCCAGAAATTTGGTCGGGTGGCGGGTTTCAAGTTGAACAAACAAAAAACTAAGGTGCTAGGGAAAATTTGACAGCTACTGAAACAGAAGGGTTTCAGAAGGAACAGAACTAAATATTGTTAAAAAGTAAAATATCTGGGGGTCAATCTTTCTTCCAAGAACTTGAATTTATTTAAAAGATAATTATGAGAAATGTTGGTCAGAAGTTAAAAAAGATTTAGAAATTTGGTCAAGACTGAAGTTATCCTTGTTAGGTCCGAATTGCACTATAAAAATGAACGTTTTGCCAAAGATGTTGTTTTTGTTTCAGGCCTTGCAGATGTGGACAGAGTGGAATGTTTTGGAAAGTGGCAGAAGGATATCTCTAAATTTGTCTGCAGGGCCAAAAAGCCCCGAATAAAGTTAAAATACTAACTGATGCAAAGGAGAAGAGGGGGGTTTGCC